CATTTTTGAAGAAGAAGTATTAGGTCAAACTTATGCTCGGCTCTGTAACCATAACCTTACTGAATGCGCTTTGTACACAGTCTTAGAAACTTAGAAATCTCTCTCTTCGCTGGTCTCTGAAACGCTGAAATGAAAACTTTCGTGGTCTACACATTTTTTACTTAAAAAAACTCGCTTTTTCGTAGTTTTTATCTCTTGAAGCATTATTGATGCCCCAGTTTTTTTTAACTCAAATGTTTCTTATCAACGCTCTTGGTAAACAACAACGTGTAGAAAGCAAATAACATTAGAATGAAAAATGTTTCTTACAACTTTGCAGAATAACAATCTTTTCAAATTTTTAAGAAAAGTACAGATTTCGTGACAAATTTGCATTATTTAAAACATACCGAATACTTGAGGCCACCTTTTATGGTTTTCAGAAGCGGCTCAAGATGGTTTCGCCTCTGTAAAATGCATGAAATGACTACTGTAAAAACAACACTTTTTTTTCTAATTTCGCATTTCCTATCTGCTCTCAATTGTTGCTATAAAAAGGCGCTATCATCAAATTTCGACATTTTGTAAAGCAAAGAATTTTACACAAAATCTGATTTTTGTAAAAAATTAAAGATGCATTTTTCTCAATATTTATTTGAAATCTTAGTTATGCTGCGTCTGCAAGAGTTCTTCGCAGGTTTAAATTTTTTCTTGTGCAATTAAAAACAAAATTCATTTTGAATCAAAAAGAAAAAAATTATTAAATTTTGTTAAGGGCAGGCCAAATTGCAAGTCTGCAAAGCTGAGCTTTTAAAAAGGCAATCTTGCAAATTCTGCAAAATTGACGGATTGTAATTTGGTAGAGAATTCACTTTCCCCACTTTTCTCTTCGACTTTTTGTACATTGGTTGAGACTTCACTAAGCAGCAAAATTTAAAAAAAACTTTGAGATATTAAGTGAAGAAAGTGCCCAACTTGATATGAAAATTTAATTTTGAAAAAAAAGTACAACTTTTGTGACAAATTTGTGAAAAAAACTGTGTCATTTGGTATAAAATGCTCATATACATTTTATATATATATATACGAATTAAGTGAACGGATAGATGGTTTTAAAGAGTAAATGTTAATCATAATTTTTTTGATAATGTGTCGTTATAGGTCTTCTTATAAATCATGCAACCAGGAAGAGTTGAGACCGAGGAGAAGGGCAAAATCAACCTGTGGAGACATGATGAATAGCAGCACGTCACGAATTGAGTAAAGACTTTGTTTTTAATTTTCTTTGTTCGGTCGCTTTTTTAACACTTTCAAATAGGACACTAAATACAAGACATCATCAAGTTGTCTTCGTTAACTTTTGCTAAGCTGAAGAGTAAAGTTGTCTTAATTTTTAAGTGTTAATCAATTTATTTATTATTAGATAATTGAAAAGTTTTTAATATTTTTAAATGATTTTTGTCTATAATTTTTTTCAACTCAGTTGTCTTGTTCTGCTCAAATTGGTACGATCAACAGCAGACATTGAACAGCTGTGTTGTTTCTTAAATACTCTTTAAACGCGTAACAGTTAGAGGATTATGTTATCAAAGAAAATGCCTAATTTACGAGAAATTTTGGAACTGAATCAGAAAATGAAGAAAATGGGGAGGACCCAACTCTGCTAGGTTTTCAGCAGAATAAGTTTCTATACTTGTAACTGCTTTTCGTCGGCAAAGAGATTTTTACACTAGAGTAGTGTATATCAGTCACTGTTATTGCAAATCTTATAAGGTAAGCAGTTTCCATTATGACTGCATCTTTTTCTGTAAGCACAATTAACCATAGTTATAATTAAGTTAGTAATTTGCACACTTAAATTAGACAAATGCTTTTGCCTTTGTAACTTTTAAATTTCCAGTAAACGCACTAGCGAGAAAATCTTAATCTTAAAACGAGGCACATTTTCCCACAAGTGGAACGGCATTTGATTTTGAATGTTGAAACACTGTAACGCTTGACTGGTTTTTTTTATATTTAGACAATAGTAGTTGGTGAGACTGTGCTAAAATCTCCAGCACTTGATACGTCTATTGGAAAGCTTTAAGCCGTTGCATTGTTTACAACTGATTGCTGCTTCTGCTACTAGGGAGACCGATTTAACCTTTTATAAAACTTTTGTAATTAGAAGAGAAATACAGTTTTAGAACTTAAAATTTAAAAGCAAGAATGAGTCCTGCAAAATCAGCGTCAAAAAATAAAAAGTCTATTGACCAAGAATCTCTAAATAACTCTTTCGTATTCTCAGTTCCGTGAGATCCTGTATAAAATTATAGTGGTGTCACTCAAAAAGAAAAAGATCATTTTTTTGAAGTACGAAAGAGCTATATTTGATTGTCACCAATTGAAAAACTCCAAACTGATTAAAGATATGCGTTCTCAAGTTTTAATTAAACGTAGCTTTTGTTGCAGCTTGTTGTTTCCTAGTTTAATAAATTTGCCTCTCACATTTTACCTTTTTATCAATACTTATGATAAGTGCTGACTCTTCAAATACGACACTATAAATACTCTTCCGTTTAGCGTAACTTCAAATAAGCAAGTGTAATTTAAAAAAGCACTACTTTTGTCAAGTGAAGCAGAGTTCAAGCGTATATGATATAAAGATTAGTAATAATGCCAATTTTGAGTACCATCACAGAATAGCGTCATTCAATGATTTTTCGTGTTCGCAGTTTTTGGCAAAATTTGTGTGAAGTGGTGCTGCCGGTGTGACGGTTTATTTTGAATGCTAATCTCAAAAAATTTTCTAACCGAGAAAAATAAATACAAAAGCTCTGTCTTTGGTCTGTTTTGCTAAATGACAGAACTGAAGTTTTATTTGTTTATAAAATATGTGCATTTTTCTTGGAAAAACTGTAAATACGTTAAAATTGATAAAAGTAATAGTTTTTACAAGGATTTCGAATTGTAACTCAACTATTATGTAACCATGAAAATATTTTTGTAGCAGAGAAATATTTTTAGTTAAGCTGTTCGTGCAGAACACATTATAAGTATAGATTTTTATAAAGCACAAAAATACATTTGCATTCTATCCTTTTGAAAGGCTTTCTCTACTCTCTTCACTCTGTAACTTTTGAGAAAACTAGTTTTATCTTCTGACTTTAAAATCTTATCTATAAAACCCACTCGATATTTAAGAAATACTTTTCTGTAATCTAAGTTTTCAAAATTTTATTTACATTTTGATTTTTCAACATAATTACTAGTAATTGCAAATAAATAATTCTTCTGTAAACCAGGAGAAAAACCACTGGCGCAGAAGAAGAAGAGTCATATTCTTCATAAAAATTAGTACTTTTTAAATAAATATCTTATATATTTTTTAACTTTTGAAGAATATAGAATTTAGTCACTTAATTCAAAAAGTTAAACAGAATACTTACTATGTCTGTGTACAGTTATGCTAATTATTACACAATTTACTTTATAATCTGCATAAAATATAGAAGTTGCAGATTCGTTTAAGCAACTTTTACTTCAAAGTTTATATAAGATTTGCAGCACAAACAACTGAGAAGTCAAGAAAAAAGTAAACTTTCGAAGAAAATGCAAAAAAGCGGTACTTAGTTTCAAAGAAGCATTATACAGAAAATTCTGCATTAAAGCTTAGCTAAAAGATTTAAGGCTTAGCTAAAAGAGACGACTTCAGTGCATTTTAGAGTAATTTTGAGCTAAATTCTCGAGTTGGTTTTTCGACAGTAAAATGCAGGCGTGATTGAAACAGTATTGCCAATAGAGTACACTATTATTGACATATTCACTTAACTAAACTGATTTTAGAGTTCTTCAACTCTAAAAGTTTTCTTTATAAAGCAGAAAATTTTCAATTTTTTTCTGTAAACTGAAAAATTATTTGCAGATCTTCATTAATTATTTAGTGTTTTATGCAGATAAACTTTTTGTGCATTGATTTTTGCAAGAAAAAAAAACAATACTTGGAATCTCTACAATCAGTTTTTTAAATAAAAACTCTTGCATATGCAAATTATAAAGACTGGCGTTCTAAAAACAAGCATTATCCCGCTTTAACATCAAAACTGTTTTGCTTTAACCAAAAAAATTTGACAAAAATATTAATATTTAATGTATTTATTTAGTCTTTTAAATTATCTAGGTAAGTCTTTTATTTGTTAAAATTCAGAGTAGCTTGTGATTTCATTTAAATGTATAGCTTGAAATTAAACAGTTATAAGAGTCGTTGGAAACATACAAAGTTTCATGCTAAATAAAAACACGAGGTAGAACTACTCAAGTTTGTTTGGCATAATTTTCAAAGAGATATTCCTGTAAATCAAGCCTTCTAATTTGAAAATTGTCTTTGATAATTATTGAAATTTTAAAAGTACAAAAGCTTGATATGTTTAACTGAACAGAAGCAGTTCGGCAAACAAATTTCAATTTTTCAATGCTTTTTGAACCTCATATGCTATCTCAATACCAATAACCTGCACTTAGAATATTTAGCTGTTGCGAAACACAATAATTTTTCAGAGGAAACAGCCATCAAGAGCAAGTTTCGTTACTTTATGGTACCGAGAAATTTCGAAGAAATAGCTGGACAACGCTAAAAGTTATAGACTGCCACAAACGTTGTCATCAATGGTCATCTGCGAAAATCGACAAAATTTCAATGTTCATTTTTCCTACACTTTTTGCTCTCTTTAATATAATTTACTGGTCACATTATTTGTCACTGTAGTTCACGATTTCAAACAAAACGTTCACTTCGTATCCGTTTCTCATCATCTTTAGAAATAAACTCAATGCATTTTTGATTTGCTAACGATGCCAGTGCGCGAAAGCAACTTGTCATGCCATTAGCTTTCATTATATCTTCTACTTTTCATTAAGACGTCTCTTTTACTGCTGACTAACTTGTTAATGTTTTTAAATTGGCAGAGATCTTTAATTAAAAAGTAATTAACACATTAGAAGTAACTATAAAAATTGAATGTCACTAACCCTAATCGACTATTGTAGTTTAATGTTCTGTAAGCTGAAGGTATCTTAGATATTTGCTTGTTTCTTTGCTCAACGTTTATAAATGCAATAAATTAATTGTTATAAAATTGACCATCTCTTGAAACCCGCTTCAAAGTTTTCAAAAGCTCGTTTCTTAATTAGTTAGAGGAATTTTTTTTTACTTTTAAAATAAAGTTTCTTCTTGAAGAGGTAACTTACACAGCTGTTTTAACTATTCAAAAACTAAGAAATAAACGCATAGAGGTCTCTAAAGACAGGTTTCTTAACCGAATGAACACTTAACATTTCCAGTATAGGCCAGTTCTTCTATCAGGGTTTTGTCAATCATGTTTTCCAACATCTTCCAATCTTT